CTAAGAGGTTTATCTTTTTTGCTCCAGTAGGGATGCCAAATGTAAGTTTGTTTTGGTCATTGTTACAAGTTAAATATTTCACAGGTAAAGCACCATGCATAGGACTCTTATTTGCAACAAATAACTGTTTGTTTTTTCCTTCTGTAACATTTCTGCTTATTTGCTCCACAAAGCAATTAACATACCACCTAAAAACGTAGTTCCCCCAACATAATATTTACCTAGTCTACACTGGTATAGACATTATCTCCCACAAGAATCATGTTCCCTGTTTTTGTAGCCTCTCTGATCTTCCTCAGTTTGTCATAGAGCCTGTGACACACAATTATAGGGATTAAAAAAAAAGAAAAATTAGAAGCAGTTAAGTGTTAACTCATTAATTAGCACATGCAGGATAAACTTTAAAATTCACTTCTCTTCCTTTACCCCAATTGACCCTGACTCAGAACAAGATTTCTACCATAAGAGTATGTATCATGTCCTCTGGATCTTATCAAAAGCCATAGTGTAGATGAATGATTCACTGAAGAACAGTACAAAGAATATGGAAGTATAACATAATGACATGAAATGCTAGCACTAAACTATTGTATTCACAATATATTAGAAAGTCATTTCCAGGATGCATTTTCAGCAACACAGACTACCTGAATGATAATCATGACACTAAGAGCTGTGTGTCTGTGCAAGGTTTCCAGGTAGCAGCAAAATCTATGAAAATGGATTAGGCTATCAAAAAGTTCCCCCACCACCAATTAAACACAAAGAGAACGTCCTGTTTAAAATCAGGGTGACATTTAAGTCACACAACTAAATATAATCTTGTTGAAGATGCTGGTTGCTTAATCTACAAAAAGCAGCATCCTACTTCTTGAATTTCTCTCCTGTTTTTCAGCTTTCCACTGTTATTTCTAGTGCACAAGTCCTGCTGACTGAAATCTACTTCAACAGATTTTTGTTGTCTTTCTTATTATGATATCTTATTATCAATGCAGACTTGAAACAGAAGTATTAAAATCACAAAAATAGCAAACTTCTTTCACAGATGTCACATAGCATTAAACTTTTCCCTCATGACAACTGATAATGTGTGATATACATTTTACAAGTCACCTGTGCAGTGCCAAAAATCCCTGTATCAGATCTTCTGAAGGATAGTTCCTTATCCAACAATAATCTTAGCTCTCTGAGATATCGTAACCACAATAACTCCACGTGACACCCATTTCACGTGACATTGCTGTCTTTTTCCACAAACACAGCCTACACTAACTTTCTAATTTCCATCTCAGTTAAGCATCTACTTATTTTGAACAAATCTGTGCTTCAGTTTAGTTGCTTTTTATGCATAAAGATGAGCTTCTTGTGCTATTTGAGATGTACTTCTATACCAGGAGATTGCAACAAAATATCCAAGAGCCATAACCATAAAGTAAGTAAACTTCCTTTCAATTGTTTATAAGTCTATATGGACATTCCTCTAGCAAACATTCATACCCTTTTCAAGAAAAAAGGAATCTCACAAAATATCTAGATAAAAGATTTTGCTAGAGAGCTGTAGAACCTGCAGTCTTTATATCAAAACCACACATAGATTCTCAAGTACAAGTCCATGGAGAGTGCTTGATTTGAAACAGGCATCCAACTATGCCTGTGTCACCACCTCAGATATCCCCTGGTTTCTATACTGGGGTGGAAAGGCTCCTTTTAAAGGTAAAATTAATGTGCATTGATTGTGTTGTGTGGCTCTTAAAAAAAAGTATTCAGATTCACCATCAAAAAGCTCTAAGAACCATAACCTCTAATAAAAATAAATTCTGAACTAGTGACTCAGAACATTAGACTTTCACGACCACACATCTATATAGAGACAACTTTCAAACAGTACTGAATATACTGAACAGTACAGCTGTAAGAATTTAGATATACGACCCTACAGAAATGAAGACTTAAGGACAGCAAACTGAAAAGAATGTTTCTACCATGTACTCATGGTAGTCAAATTATCAAGATTTCAAGTTGACAATTTATCTCCAAGAATCACACATTAGAATATAAATACAAGGATGGCAATGTTGGAGGTGATAAACAAACACTCCAAAGCAAAGCTTTAAAGACACTAAAAACAAAAGCTCCTGCACAACTTTGCATAAGGAAGTTGTGAGGAAAAAAGTATTTCCTCCTACCCAACTCACTTTCACCAATGAGAAAACAATTCTGAACTAATGTCATTAGAATTCATAAACACAGACAGGTACGAAAGGATCTCAAAAATCTACAATAACAAACCACCGTTTCTACACACATTCTAATATCATGCTTTGCTATGCTCATCATTAGAGTTATTTTTATTCTTAACATCCATACTAAATTCCCCCTCTTTTGCATTTATCACTTCTCACCCATGCTGCCAGCCTCATCAGTGTAACAGTAGATCATTAGGCTTTGAATAAGGACAAAGGATCCACAGGTAGTAACAGAGAGCACAAGTAAAGAAGCAGAATGTTGCTACCACTAGGCTTTTTCAGTGGCATGGAATTGCCTGGATGCAAGAGTGATTAAGCATGTCAGAAGTCTTCAGCCTGAAGAGAAAGCGAATCCTCTGAAAAGTCTCTGAAAAAACTGAGCAACCTCCTCCAATGAAAATTAGGGATGAAAGAGAAGTTAGATTAAAAAAAAAACTACAAGAAAAAAAAGCCAACAAAAAAAACAAACTAAATACACCAACAAAAACATACAAAATACACACACACACCCCCCATAACCAAAAAAAGCAGACCGCCACAAAAGTGGCAGCTCTTCTCACAGTAGGTAATCTATCCAGAGAAATCCTTGCTATAGGGCAAGAGGGCAAGTAAGATGATAAAGATATGCACGCTACAACAAAGACTGGACAAGTTCCAGAAAAGAAATCCCAGAGGGATTACTAAGTACAGAAAGTACAGAGATCACTTCCACACCAAAAAGCTCGCAAGCCACAAGTGATTAGACTGGTATTGTGCAGGATTATCATTAGATGCCTTTCTAGTCTAATATTGTTCACAGAACCACCTCTTTCTGACCATTTATCATATATAGCTAGATCTTTCCTACCTACATATTTCTTCTGCAAATTGAATGCCAGCAGTTGTTTCAACCTTTCAAGGAAGTCTTTGAAAGAGTGGCCTTTTTTATTTTCCCCCCTTTTCTTTTTTCCTCTCCTCTTTCCAATCTTCTCTCCATTCGGCCAATATTCTTCCTAAAGATAATACGCAGCAGTGAGCAGAATATTCCAGCTGAAGTCTTACTAGTCCTACACATGAAAGCCATCTCACGGCAGCTTCCTGCAGCATTTGCGTCTTCACTATAAGAAGGTCATTAAAGACTTCAGCTTTCATAGCTTTATCAGATGATAAAGTTCTCTCCCAACTAAGAAACTTATTATTCTGGTATTCCCCTTATCATTAACACACTACAGAAGGCTTCCTTGTTACACTTCGTATCTCTCATTTTTTGCTTCTCTCAGGTCAAAAGTTGTAGCATTCAATTTCAAAACTTGAAATCCTACTACAGGAGGTCACAAAGAGCTAGTTATTTCTTTCATTAATGAAAAGACAGTGGCTGCCAGCACTCCAGAGGATTGAGGAGGAAGGTTTGTTTCTCTCATTGAAAGGCATTGAAGAGTTGGAGTGTAGCCAGCTGTAGCAGCTATTTTCTTAAGAATCATCTTGGTTAAAACTTACTGAGTTTGCTAATTTCCTGGTACATGAAAAACAAAAAAGTATACTGAAAAGTAGGCCACAACAAGAAAAACCCATGGTTTTGCAAGTATCAAGAATTCTTTATCAGATAAATGTATTTTATCCTACCAGGCTATTAGGAGAAAGCAGAGCTAACATTTTAAGACAGCCTGTTATAATTTTCTAGGAAGGCTGACAAGGCAAGTCTTCCTCCACTGGTGGATTCTATCATATCAAGCACATAACTGGTACTGATAGATTATAGTCTCTTGAATCCAACTTATATAATAAGTCCAATAAGACAGTATGTCCAACTTATCTAGAGTCAGGAACTTACAAAAGTACAATTATTAGGTCTGATGGTGCCAACAAGTGGCCTGTGCCAACAATATTGTTATTAGCAACAAACACTAAAGGTCTTAACAGAGTGTTGAGTTTTTGAACTCACTTGAATTGAACTGCAAAATTGCAGTTCATGCAATTTTAGGACAAGATGGGAAAATCCCCATCACCTATGGGAAAATACAGACACACAACACTTGCTCTGAAAGTCAGCATTGCTGCTGATACCACATTAATACTTACATAAAGTACACACTCAAGTCTTCTGTGTCAAGAACTACCTACCTCCTAATTACTGGGGAGATTCTCAACTTCTCTTACTCCTATAGCAATACACTGTTTGACTTCCATCTCAATAGCGAATCTCTTTCATATTTAAGTGATATAGACTGCAGTTAGTCTGCTACCAGCAGATACAGGAGACAAAATAGAAGAGACTATCACAGCTATCCTGCCTTTTTTGTTACATTTGTCACAAAGCCTTCAGAGAAGATTGCAGCCCAAAGAGAATCCTCTCATTATGCTGCACAGATGATAAGGATTTAAAAGGACAGGAAGGGAAGAAGGGAGGGAGGGAAGAAGGAAAAGGAAACATTATTATTCATCATCATAACATGGGAAAGCCCGCATCTTTCAAAAGGTCTATTCAACTAATATGATAGCATTCAAACCAACGTTCAGAGTTTAAAAGCAGCTTTCTCCAAGACCATGAATTTTGAAACAGAAAAACACTCAATTTAAAAAAGTACCTGAAATATAAAACTTGTCCTGCTGATTTCATTATGGAAGGGTAACATTATAGTAGCCTAGATAAGATGACGTTCAGATATACGTACTAACATGTGGTACTGATTACCAACACACATACATTAAACTAGAAGCCCACATCCTGCTTAGAATACTAAATATAAATCATCTTTTCATGTTAGTCACACTTACCGTTTCTTGTCTTTGGGACTCAGTGAGCTTTTCAGACAATTCTTCCAGAGTCTGTCTTAATTCAGCATCCGTCCTTCATAGAAAAATATAGGTAAGACAATATTCTACAGTGCAAAAGCTAAATATCAACTGTGATAATTTTAAGCAGCAACAATCTCCTGGATTTTTATGCTACTTCAATTTGTTCTACAGCCTCTAAACTCCTAGCATAATTAGAGACCAGCCTCAAGTGGACAACTCATGATAAAAAGTATTTCCATTCCTCAAGTGAAGATAACAGAGCGCCTAGTTTGAAATGCTAGGTATCAGGTCAAGTATAAATGAACAGTACTAGTTCCTACTAGGAATTAGCAGACTAATTCTTGTTATTGCTATTAGGCAAAGCACCATATGTTGAGACAGTATGTACTTTAAAAAAAACATTGTGGCCTGCATGAGAACTTGCCCTCAAGAGACCCCAGTACCAAGAACAAATAAGGAGAAAAGTTGTAATAAAAAAAATTCTCAAGTCCTTGTTGTTTTGTCCATATATAAAAAAAAGGGGGAGGAAAGCCACATATACTATACAAATCAGAACTGATGGGTGTTACTTACATTTATAAATACTGCTCAGGATGACATGGAGCAGGCAGTTCATAATACTGCTTTCATCTACATGTT